GGTGTGCGTCATGAGCTTCATGGCATAGCTGCCTCTACTCCCCTCTCAGAACCTGTGGGTTCCCCACTGTTGCAAGAGGAAGACCAAACCGTTTGGCCTGGCAGCAAAGGCCCGCTCTGTAAGACTGGCTCCGACACACTCCTCCTGCTCCATCTCCCTCCATCATGCCTTCGGGAGCTCTGATGGCTCTCTGAACAGCCTGCATTTCCTTCTCTTCCCCATAATGCCCCTGTCAGGGAGCCGTCACTCCACTTCCTGTACCCACCCCCAGTGCAGTGAACACTGTGAAGAGAGCCCCCTTGAGACCCAAGTCTTCACTTTCCCAGCCAAAGAGCATGTGAGTTGCTTGTGGCTCACAGTCGAGTCTCTCTCCAGGAAATGCCCTCAGCAAGTGCTGCCTAGTTCACAGCCATGCCCCAGGCCTGCCAACAATCACTGCCAGTGACTGGTAAGGGTTTGGCAGCACTTCTCAAAGCCCAGTTCCGCCAGAACTCCAGGTGGGATCAGATCTGTTGGACCTGAGAGCAGTTCATGGGAAAACTCCTGCAGCCAGAGCTTTGTCTCCAAATCCATTTCCAGGGGAGCCATGCTCCCATTTCAAAGCCCAAGTGGCTCCCCTGTATCCCTCCTGCTCTTACCTTGCTTTTACCTTGCAGGCAGACCCTTCCTTGTCTTCCTACCTTTGTGCACATCTCTGCTTGGGAATCTACCTCCTCTCTTCCGTCCCACCGCATGCTCCTGGCTCTGCCTTTTGCCACTCTAAAACCAGGAAGCTTTGGTTTCAGAGAAAATGGCCTTGGCTGCCATTTTCTGATTCTCCTTCCTGACCTCTGGGAAAGAGTCAAGGACTCCACCACATTTAGGGTGGGCACCTGGCGCACGGCCGGCAAGCACAGTCACAAGCTAGGTCACGGTTATAGCTACCTCATCTCTCACCCCAGAGTTCCCTCACTCAACCATGGAAGGGAAGAGCCCACAGAAATGCTGGCTGATGACCCCCTCAGCTGGTGGTGCCAAGTGGGGCTGAGTGACAGGCAAGGAGGGAAATGCTCCAGTAGGGAAATGCTGAGGAATGAATGTTTGTTAATCCTCAAATTCATATGTTAAGGTATAACCTCCAACATGATGATATTAGAATGTGGGGCCTGTTCGAGGTGATTAGATCATGGGGATGGAGCGAAATGGGATCAGTGTCTTTATAAGAAAACATGAAAGATGGTTTCGTTCTCCAACATGTGAGGACACAGCAAGATGGCCATTGCCAGCCCTCGCGGGAACCCTACCATACGGTACCTTGATCTCAAATTTCCAGCCTCAGGACTGTGAGGAATAAATACAGGTTAGGCTCCCCAGTCATGGTATTTTTGTTATAGGAGCCTGAGTTGATGGAGATGGGGAGGGAGGGGCTGATCGTGGTATTGTGAAGGCAGGTTGGGCCTGGTCTCTAAGTCATTGTTGGCCAAGAGCACCAAGGGGCCACGGGATAGGAGGATGAAGAGGCCAGACCCCTTGTTCCCACTGGACAAACTGGTTTCCACTCTGGAAATGGGGGTCCAGGCACAGGACAAGTCAGGACACCCACCCCGTGGCCCCTAGTGTGGTGGACCACCTCTTCCCCAGACCCGGTTGAAATGCACAGAGGTGACCCATGTGCATCGTGGGAAAGAGGAAACAAAGCAAAGCAGCAGAAAGGAGTATCACCCTAACTCCACCACGCCGAAGCTGCTTCACTGACACAGCCCTGCGCTGCTTATCAGCAGGGATGCGTTTTGAGAAATGCGCCATTAGACCGCTCCTTCCTGTGTGAATGTCATAGGGTGCAATTCACAAACCTGGATGGCCCCAGAAGTCCTGATCCAGGTCAGCTTTCAAACTGGGCCATGCATCTGGCCCACAGCTAACTGAAGTATTAGTAAGCGACTCATGACTAATTGGTTTATTTCCTCCTGGATGACTACGAGTGTTTAACATTACCCAAATAAAGAATTTCGTGCACTGATAGCTCAGTGTTATTATAAGAGACACATATTTAATGTTATTAAAATGTTTTACAAACAATATTTAAATGCTTACAACTGTTTCAGAGGCTTAAGCATGTAAAATGTTTAAGCCTAGGTCCGTCTGGCCCACAATGACTTAGAGACTAGTCACCCATCCTGAGTGAATTCAGAGTCCATCACATAACGAGGGGACAAATCTGACAGGGGTTGCCTCACAGGATAGGTACGGTGGGGAGCACCACGTGCCATGCAAGGGCAAGATGTCTCTTGGGTTAGTTGGAAAGCCCTCTCTCGGGCAGTGCACCCTTGGCATTTTGGAAGTGCTCCTGTCCTGGGTTTCTGTCCCCCACCCACCAGCATGTCCCTAGCAGGCACCAGGCGCTAGGAGTTTGGGGTGTGAGGATAGATGAGTTGGACACTTAGGTCACTTGCCGAAAGAAAAAGGATGCCTTGAGATCACAGCAAGAAAGGAGGGACGTAGGACTTGAACTGCCATGCCCAGACCCTGGCTGTCCCTGCCGTCATGGCTGCCTGTCACTTCTCAAACATGAGCAAGCAGGAGGCAGGACACAGGGGCCACATGGAACCATTGCCCAGACACTTGCCTCGAAGTAGTCCTCCTCAGGAGTTCATAAAAACACTTGCATGTTCCACTCCTTCCTTCCAGGCTGTTTTAGTAAGGAACACAGACATAGATTGTTCTAGCTCTTGGAAATGGGGATCCCCAAAACTGTGAACAAGTCAGGGTGTGATTCAACAGCAGAGGCCAAGAAGGGAGGATGTGCTTGGGATGACCCACTGGAGAGTGTGGACAATAAGGATCCCAGGCAGCTGTGACCGGAGTCTGGCTCTGTGCTAATCCCTACCGGGAGCCGGGGTCCGGTCCCTGGGGCACTATCGCCAGATCACCAGCTATTCCTCCAACCGAATCAAAAACTTCTCCTTTGTTTCCTCTCGACTCCCCTGGCTCTCTGGTTTTTCTTGCGGCAAAGGGGGAGATAAGGGACGACACCTTCCCAAATATAAGATTCCACTGCAACAGTGAGTAAGACACATCCAGAGACAGAGGAACCTGAGGGCCACGCTGGCAGTGGCCTCTCTGCTCCTCTCTGCCCTGACTCCACTCCCACCCCCTATGGACCCAGAAGTCCTGATCCAGGTCAGCTTTCAAACTGCACTCCTTCGGAACCAGGGCTGGCTGAGCGGAGCCTTGGTGCCACGTCCTCCACTAGCACGGCTGTTTTAGAAATACATAAAATGGCAATTGTATTTACGGGAGTAAATGCACCGAGGGTCTTACCGCCAAAGGGAGTGAGGAGGGTGCCCAGGCCAGGGATTTCCATGAGGACCAGGCCCTTTGGTCACATCTGAGACCTTATATGCTACGCCCCCTGCTTCTGGGGGTCTATGAAGAACAAACTATCTTTTCAGTGGCAATTTTCTCCTGATCTTTTGGCTTTACAATAATTCAGACTTTCTTGCCAGGCCCTACCACTCCCAAAGGAAAAGGGGGCCAGTCTGGGTGTGGGCATTTTGGGGCCCAGTTTTCCCAGTGGCCATGGTTCCTATGGGGTGAAAGGCAATCACACAGCCCTAGGTGAGAGCTGAATGGATAAACAAGATGTAGCATATCCATACCATGGAATATTATTCAGCCATAAAAAGGAACCAACCACATACATGGTACAACATGGATGAAACTCGAAAACATTAAGTGAAAGAAGTCAGACACAAAAAGGTCACATATTATGGAGGACGTGGCACCAAGGCTCCACTCAACCAGCCCTGGTTCCGAAGGAGCACAGTTTGAAAGCTGACCTGGATCAGGACTTCTGGGTCCATAGGGGGTGGGAGTGGAGTCAGGGCAGAGAGGAGCAGAGAAGAGCAGAGAGGCCACTCTCGGCCTCATCTTATGTGAGTCCACTTATATGAAATTTCAGAACAAGCAAATCCATAGAGTCTGAGAGCAGATTAGTGGTTGCTAAGGACTGGAGAAAGAAGAGGGGTGGGAAACCAGTGCTTAATGGGGTCTCCTTTTTGGGAGTGGTGAAAAAGTTGTAAAGCTAGATAGCAGTAATGGCTGTCCAACATTGCGAATAAACTGGTCACACACTTTGAAGTGGTTAAAATGGCAGATTTTATGTGGTATGAAATTTATCATAATAAAAAAAGGCCCATATAATTCCTGATCCTCACCCCACATCAAAAACCTCAAGGGTGCACCTGGGAATCTGTATCTTAAAAAAAAACTCCATGAGAGACTAAAATAAGGCAGAGTTTAAGACCTGAGGCTAAGGCACTAAAGACCTAGATGAGCTGGGGACCTCTCTACGCCTGACATTGGAGTGGGCTGGAGTCTACTCTCTACCCCAAATGTCATATGCTAGATAGTGGTCTGAGTGGTTATCAGTGCCCTCTGCACACTGGCTCAGGCTTAGGCTCATCTGCATAAGCCAGCTCCCCAGCAAGTCACTGGCTGAGGAGTAGGTGTGTGATGTCATCTAAACCAGTGAGAATCAGACCTGGAGCACTGGAAAGAACCACCAGATGGGGGAAGCCTGCTCTCTGCCAAGATGCAAGAAGGTAGGAATGGGTCCCGGGCTGCTAAACAGCCACCTCAATAGGCAAGTCTGTGCAACTGGGGAAACATTGGAGTCTCGGGAACAAAGGAGCCAGTAGACTCCAATGCTGACCTCAGTGTGAGGTGAGTCACTTGATATGCAAGGACAAAAGGCTGCCAGAATCCCAAAATTGCTCTAAAGAAGAAGGGTCCCAAATGGGGCACCTGAAACACAGTGAAGAACTTTAAGACATCAAATTAGAGCAGACAGAAGAAATCATGACTTGGGAGCGCAGGGCAGCAACTATGTTGTGTAAAGTGTAGGGAATTAAAAAGGAGGCAGGGGTCCCTGGAGAAGACCCTCAGCCCCAGCTGCAGGCACTGCAGTCTGTCCCTGGAGATCTGCGCATTTCATGGTATGTGCTCTCTGCTCCACTCACCTTTCCAGATGCACACATGGTCCCATCCAAAGGGGGGCCCTTCTTGGTCTTGCAAAAGTAGGGGTTGTCAGGATGGCTGCACCATAGCTGTTTGCAGGGGTCAAAGGTCCGGAACTGAAAGAGAGCACCGGAAGCTTGCAGGCAGCCTCTCACTGCTGGACTGACTCAGTGTTGTCTCCCTGTCCCCCAAGGTCTCTTGGACAGCTGTGGAGTCAGGCATGGCTTGGTGGCCTGTGATGGGGCTGTGTGGCTGCTGGAGGCCCTGAGCTCCCTATGATTCAGGGGCTGCAAGAAGCTCCAGTGTAAAGTGAGGGTGCTATGCACACCTGTGGGCTGCTGACCCTCAGGCTCCAGTCCTTGGACACCGCGACCCTCAGCAGCCAGGAGGAAGAGTACCAGTAAGAGGACTACAACGGTGTCCCTCTGGTCGAGGCAGCAGCAGCTGAGGGTAGCTATTGCTGCAGGGCCTGTGGTGGACCCCACCTGTAAGGTCCTAAAGACCTCCCTTCTGCTCCATGGGCCTGCCCTCGCTCCAGCCTTGGTCTCTACCCTCTGGCCCACAGTCAACAATTCTCTGGCCTTTCTGCTTCTTATTCTGATAACGTTTCTTCCAGGAGTGGCCGAAGGATCCAGCTGAAACACAGATACAGCCACTCCTTCCTCACACCTTTCCAGAGCCTCCTACGTGACAGTAGAGCCTGCCGCCCTCCACTGGCAGTCATGCAGGAAGCTAGCTTGCCTGTGTAGGACCCGGAGCCTACGGCTTGCTCACTGCCTGGATTGAAGCAGGTCACCTAACTTCCCAGGCTTCAGTTTCTTCATCTGCAAAATGTTAAAACTTTGCTTGCTTTCATCATACAGTTGAGATACACACTGAGGCAGACACTGATAGACACTAAAGCTTTCACCAGGTGTCTGGCCAAGTTGTGGCCAGGTGAGGTCTAGAAAGGCTGCTTTGGCTCCCCACATAGGGAGGGTGGAGGCCTTGATAAGCTGATACAATTCTGATGACTGAAGCTCCTGCTGATGGCTGTGATCTTGCACTTAATCCTAGGAAACGAAATTGGTTTCTCTTCAGTATACTATGTTCCCTCACCTCTCAGCCTTTGCACATGTGATTCGAGCCTTTTGGAATGTCCTCTCCTCTCACTTACTTTTCCTCCAGGATGCCCTCCTGACAGGCAGAAGCAGGTAACACATGGGCCTCACCAGACCCCCATAGCCTCTTGCTGATCCCCTTGTCACCTTCATGCTTCCTGTGCAGGGCCATGTCTGCGCCCACCAGTGGGCTCTGGGTGCCAACCAGGTGTGAGCGGAGGGTGTGGAGGGAAGCTGTCAGCTGCCATTCTGGAGTACTACCCTGATCCACCTTGAGGAGTCACCCCAACACCAGCCTCCTCCTCTGGAGAAGCCAGCCAGGTCCCGGGCAGGTTTCCCCACACAACCCCACTCAGGTGGCACGGCCTCCCACACTCACCGCGGTGCACATCATGTAGCCCAGGCCAAAGTCAAAGCGGCACTGCTCATTCATGGAGTAGTGCAGCCCCGGGAGCTGGGGCAGCGCCGGCCAGTCGTGGGCAAAAGGGTCATCCCGCAGGCAGTCATAGGAGCTGTGAGGGAGAGGGTGCCACAGCAGCTTTTAGTGGGACTAGCTTTCCAGCCTGTGAGCAGCTGAGGTCCTTTGTGGAGCAGTGGTGGTGGGTCTGCCTGCACACCCCAGCCCTCAGCTGTGCTACCTCAGTTTCCCTTGGCCTGAGGTAGCCAGTTTTCCAGGGCTTGATCTACCACATCCCAGGGATCCTAGAAGCCCACTAAAGGTGCAGTGGCCCACATTCCACTCAAGGCCCAGGCCCTCCCTGATACCAGGTCTCCTCCCTGACACCAGACTGAGCTCTCAGGCTTGCCACCTGCAATGCTCTCTCTTTCATTCCCCTGCGCCTCAGCCTGGAGGACCCCAGGTCTGGTGGCCCAGGCACACTGGGACAGGGACCCTCTTGGCACTGACCTGAGATCTGTGGGGCTGCCCTTGGGAAACGTGAGGTGTACTCACTGCAAGTAGCGACTCAGCTCCTGTTGGCTGCAGCGGGACCAGTGGAAGCGGTGGAAGGCTGCCTGCACCAGGGGCGCCATGATGCTGCCCAGTCGCACCTCATCGCCACAGCGGTTTCCCTGCCCGTCATGTTCCATGCCCAGCCTGTGGGAAGCCAAGGCAGCCTTTCTAGAAGCTCACTTGACCACACTGACCTGTCAGCTCCACCCCACTTAAAGGCTGGGAGGACACCCGGAGCCTCCCCCTGCTGGCCTCTCTCCTCCCCACCTGAGCTGTTCTAGTCTGCCTTGAGTCAGGTGCGATGGATTCTTAAAGCTGGGGCGCCCTGGGGAGATGGCATCCAGCGGCAGTGCTCTCAGCTACCCTGACCCCAGGGTGAAGCAGTCCTAACTCTCTGGGCACCCTTGCCACATACTCCTGGAACAAACCTGGGGCCTATGTCCAGCTCCAAGATTCAGGTGGGCTTTGTGAAGGGCATACACACAGGTCAAGCAGTGATGCCTCCCTTGCTCAACCCCAGCTCTGCATTCATGAGTAACGTTCCCTCATTACCTTGGGTACTCATTGTAAAGGGGGCCAAGGAGACACTTGCCTGGGAGCTTAAATGACATAATTTGTGGAAGGCCCCCACTTCCTGCCTGGTCCCAGCTATTTCCTCCCTGATTTGTGCCCTCAGCAGAAAGTGGACCTCGGGCCTGCCCTGTGCTGCACAGGAAGGTCAGAACATCACCCACAGTGGTCTTCATACAGATAAGTCCCTCTCAGGGCACAGGGTCCCCTGCAAGCCGTGACTTTCCCCAGATGACAAGGGCACTGACACCACTCACACATGGCCGGTCTCATGGGCCACAACAAAAGCTGAGGAGAAGCCATCTTCGTGGTTGAGGGTGCAGCTGCGGACAGGGTGGCACATCCCAGTGACAGGAGCATATCCTGGGAAGAGACGAAGGCTGTTCCAACTGCTAGGCTCATGGCCCTGACTGAATCGATGGCCCTGGTCTAACTCATGAGTGGTGCTTCTCCTTGGGGGTCCCAATACCCCCACCTCCACCATCACCGGAACAAATGAAGAGAGTCAACTGTCCTCAGCTGGTACAGCTCACGAGAAGCCCCCACACACTGGTATACACCATCATTGATTTATTGGTATTCAATGATTTCAGATTTAAGTTCTTTATTAGATATATGTATTATGAATATTTTTGTCAATGGGTTAATAGTGCCTTCAATTAAGCAAATATTTTAATGTTAATGTGGTACTATTTATATTTTCCTTTGCAAATAATCCTTTTTAATCTCCTTTTCCCCCAGAAATACAGAGATATTTTCCTATATTATCTTCTGTAAGTTTTATTATTTCACTTTTCATAACTAGATCTAAAATCCACAAATAGGGTATTTTCATACAGAGTAAAGGTATCAGGCTTTACTTTTTTTCCCAATTTGTACATTCAGTTGACTCAACGCTATTTTTTAAAAAGACCATCTTCTCCTTCCATCTTGCAGTGCTACCTCTGCAATAAATTGAGTAGTTGTGCTAAGCTCAATTCTAGACTCTATATTCTGTTCTAATGATATATATCTTTGGACCAAAATTATACTCTTTAACTATGTACTTTTATAAGTATTGAATACTTTATCTAATTCAGCTGTTCTTGCCTGTTCTTAACCTGTTGCATTTCTATAGAAACATTAGAATCACCTAGCAATCTCTTCGAAATGTTCTGTTGGATCTGAACTTGCATTTAAGTGCATATGTATTGACTCTAGTTCAATTTGGAGAAAGCTAGTATTTTCACAATAGTGAGTGTCCGTGTCCATGAGCATGGTGTCTCCTTCATTGACAGAGTATTTTATAATTTCTGCAGAAATGCTTTATGGTTTTCTATTTTAGGTCTTGGTCATATTTTGCCAGGCTTAACAAAATTTATTTTTAGAACACAGAAAGTCAATAGAGTTTTGTATATTGACATTATACCAAGCAAATTACTTGATAATTTTTAACAATTTACTTGTAGATTCCCTTGGATTTGTTAAGTACACAAGTACATAAGCTTCAAATAAGTTTTATTTCTTCCTTTCAGATCCTTATCATTTTACTTTTTCCTTGTCTTATTTCACTGGCTGGCACTCCACTATAATGTTGAAGAGAAGTGGTAATCACAGTGTTCTTGATCTACTCCAGTGCAGGAAAAAGGCTTACAACATTTCACCATTTATATGATGTTTTTTACAGGTTTTTTTGTATATATCTTTTACCATATAAAGGAAGGTTTATTCTATTCCTACTTAAATAAGACTTCTCAATAAATGGACCTTGATCTTGTCAAATACATTTTCCGAGTCAATTGAGATGATCACATACATTTTTTCTCTTATATTCTGTTAATATCATAAATTACAATGATAGGTTTTCAAATGTTAAACTAACATTGAATTCCTATAATAAACCCACATTCATGTCCTATAGTTTCTTTTTTATGTAGCTATGGTTTGTTAACATTTTGTTTGGACATCTGTGTCTGTATTTGTGAGAGAGTTTGGTTGGTAATATTTTTCTTGTAACGTCCTTCTCAGATTTTGGTGTCAATGTCATGCAGGCTTCATAAAATTAGCTGGAAAATTTTTCCTTCTATTTTTGTTCTGTAGGCATTTGTTAATTATTTATATTACTCTTCCTTAAAATTAGGAAGAATTCTCTGGGGAATCTGTTAAGTTCTAGAGTTTACTTTGAAGGAAGGCAATTAATTATAAATTCATTATGTTTAGTTGACATGAAACTATTCAGATTTTGTACTTTTTCCTCAGAATTATGTTTTGTCAAGTAATTTGTACCTTTCATCTATATTGAAGAATTTATTGATGTGCAACTGTTCAAAATACCTTCTGAATATCTTATTATCTTTCAAAAGTAGAACTTGCAAAAAATATCTCTTTTACATTTCTTATCTTAATAAATTTTATTTTCTTTATTTTAGTATTGCTAAGGGTTTTTCCATTTTAATCCATGTTTTCTAAAGAACCAAATTTTGGTTCTGTTGATTATCCCTATCATTGTTTCCTAGTATTCCCTACTAACATTACGCATGTAACAATCCTGCTCTTATTTTCATAATTTCTTTTCTTCTATTTTTGTTAATTTGAGTTTGCATTTTTTTTTTATTTCTTAAGATGGAAGTTCATAAGATGACTTTTACCCTTTTCCTACTAAATGCACTTAACACTACCAATACCAATCTAATCATTATGTTAGTTACAGTCACATGTTTTGATATGTTGTATTGTCATTATCATTCAGTTAAAAAATGTTCTAACTTCTATTGTTATTTCTTCTTTGAACCCTGGATTATTTGAGTATGTTGTTCAATTTCCAAATATTTGTAATTTTTCAAGTTGTCTATTTCAATATGGTCAGGGAACAATTTCTGAGTGATTCCAATCTATACATTTTGTTACTACTTCTCTGTGGCCACGCATAGTCTGTTTGGTACAGCTTCATGCTATATTCATAGAGTGTGTACTCTCAAGTGCACTATTACTCATATACAGTGTGTTCTATTACTTATATAGTTGCTCTTTGAGCAACATGAGTCAAAATTCCATTCAGTTAAAAACCCACATATGGCTCTTGACTCTCCAGTACGGATTTTTACTTGACAAAGTAGTCTGTTGTCAAGCGGAAGCCTAATAACACAGAGTTGATGAGCACATATTTTGTATGTTACACGTATTCCATAAAGTAAGCTAGGGAAAAGAAAGTGTAATTAAGAAAATCAAAAGGAAGAGAAAATACATTCAGCGTACTCTACTGTATTTATCAACACTGTAAGTTTTCATCATCTGTTAATAAGAAAATCACATAGAGTGACCCTTCAAAGTTCAAACCCGAGTTGTCTAAGGGCCAGTTGGATGCTGATTAGGTCAAATTGCTTAATTCAGATCTTCTGGGACCTTGCTGATATACTCCTGTGTTGCTCTATCGAGTACTACTGTATATATTAAAATCTTCAACAGTGATGGTAGAATGTCAATTTCTTCTATCAGATGAGTCAGTTTTATAAAAGTTTCAAATTTTTAAGTAAAAATCCATAAACTTTTGAAGGTTGAAACTTACTCAAATTTGTTTTTCAAAAACTGAGGGGATAGTAAGGAAACAACTCTGAAATTTACTTCAAACTACCCATTTCACCACCTCTCATCTTCCTTACATTTCCTGAGGGAAATGGCAGCATCCCTGGTGGTTTTCTGGAACAAGAGGCTCACTAGCACTTACCTAGCCCTTTATCTGGCTGAGGTGCACATAGCCCCTCCCTGCCCCGACACCTCTCATGGCCTGAGTTGAGGCTGCCACCCAGCCTTCCTCCTCTCTGTGCCCTCACAGGGGAGAGGCTCACCTTGCATGCCTGAAGGTCCAAAGTCTTGCCGTGTGAGGAAGATGGCATGGTCATGGTATTCATCGTGACCTGTGTCTGGCTTTTGCTGGAGATAGGCCCAGCGGCAAACATTCTCCAGGCTCTGAGAGGGGTTCCCAATCTCAATGAGGCTCATGGACTGTAGGGAGCAGGAGAGATGGAAGTGAAGAGTTGGAGTCAGCTGGACCAGTCAGGAGCTGAGCTGGCTATAGCGTTGCCAGACCCCAACCTGGGGACCTGGTCAGGTGGCACTCAGCCCAGTCACCCTCAGGACCCACCTCCCACCCAGCTCCACATTTCTGGATGACAATGCTCCCTGGCCTTACACACCAGTGTGAGTTTCCACACAAAGTCACTGCAGTTTTTGGGTGAAATGAGGAAACAACACTTTGAGAACAAAGAAGTCCTCAAATAGTTCATCTACCCCACCTCATCTCCAAGGTACCTGCAGGTGATCAGACACCTAGTCTGTGCAGACACTGAACAGGAGGTAAATGGAATATGGACCTCATCCCAAAGAGCGCACAGTCTGGCAGGATCCAGAACAAGAGAGATGAAAACTCCAATGTGGCATGCTAACCCAGAGAAGGGGAGATAACCCTGTGTTTCCCCCCTATTTGAAGGTATTTAAAAAAAACAATAATTAGGAGGGGGTGGGGAACTGCAGCAAACATAGCAAAAGAGCCATATAAAGAATGCAGGCAAAAAGATAATTCCGCGACAGAATTAGCTTTTTAACCACGGATAAGAAACCACTGGGCGAAACCATAGTGCACACCCGACAGCAAGGCTGGCACTAGGACCCTACACTGCAGCCTGCCTTGCTTCCAGGACTGGCAGTTGCTCTGGCTTTCAGTTTTCACAACCACTCTGAGAGACAGGAAACTGAGGGTCCGAAAGGTCAAACTTATTGCAGGCCGCACAGCTAAGAAGCCTGAAACCAAAGTCTATACTCAACCCCCTGCCTAGACTGCATTCTGCAATACTGTGATTTACAAGAAATATGTATTTGGTAATCAGATAACCAAATGCTAAAAATGTGTATTAGACATATCTATTAGAAATATGTATTTACTTTTCAGACACAGATCCTGACTTACAGCTCTTCTGCCAACAGAGCCCAGTCCTGTTACTGGAACCCAGCCGCCTCAGCAGTGGGAGCCGGCAGGAGCGGTGATGTTCTCTCACCCTGCTGCTCCACAAGTCGGTTGTGGCAGCTGCTCCTCAGAGCTCAGTGACTGCCTTTTTGTCAGTTGTGGCAGTTGTTCCTCAGAGACCTCTTTTATTATTATTATTTTTTTAAAAAGATTTGTTTATGCATACAAGAGCTGGGGTACAGGCTAGAGGTGTGGATGTTGAGAGGATTCACCAGAGACAGAATAGGGAGCAGAACAGGCAGATTGACTGAAATACACTGCTGAGGGGAGCAGCAGGCGAGACAGGAGAGGTCTGGTGCATCTTGTGGGTTGCTCCCTGGCCGGGGATTGAACTTGTGCTGCAGTGGCTGTGGATTATTCATAGTGCTGACACTTAACCTCTTGCATCACCAGGGACCTTTTATGTAACAGTGTACTTCCTTGATCGTGGAATAGACCAATCAGGTGCGAGCTCTGAGTTGATTGATGCTAAATGGTCCAATCAGACCTTTGTTACCAGGACCCAGCCTCGCACCGCAAGTAAGTTGTGGCAGTTGCTCTTCAGAGCCCTTTTAAGTAAAATGCACTTCCTGGGTTGTGGAATGGACCAGTCAGGTGCTATGGGCTGATTGATAAATGGTCCAATCAGACTTGTGACTTGTGTGTAACTGAAACGGGCTGAGAGGGTACAAAAGGGCAACAAGGCAGGAGGCCAGATGGAAGGATGGAGGGGCAACCCATCTGCCCAGGCTCTGAGACCAAAAAGCCCCCAAAGGCCAAAAACCAAAATCAAGGGCTACAGCAATACAACACCCACACAATAGGGCCTGTTGGGCTACAGCTGAACAAAGGACAGAGCCCGATGAGAGGACAGGTCAGTGTGGGTTCTCACCCACGCACACAACTGCAAGACACGTTAGACTCCAAGAGCAACAGCCATGGGATTTATTTTACAAACGGGAAACAAAGAGCGTAGCATATCCGCAAGTGGCCAGCTGTTGTCCGGGTAGCATCAGTGATGGTCGCCACCAGTCACCAGGAGTGCTGGACAGCACCGGCCAGTAGTGATGGCCACGGGTGGTCCCGCAGAGGCGGTGTCAGAGACACCCGGTGTTAACAGCTCTTTGTGAGTTGTTGAGCTATACCAACAACAAATAACTCTTTGAGACACCAGGCCCAGGGCTTTTGGTGCTCCTTTCAGGCAATGTCACAGACAGGACTGAGGCCCAGTCCGTGACAAGAGTCCTTCGGCTTCTCTTCCCTCCTCAGAGATTGGCTGCTGGATGCTTCTTTTCTTCTTTTTTCAGAGGCTGGAACCGTCTTCTTTTCTTCAGGAGTTGGCATCATTGTCTCTGGGCTGGAGTCATCTCTCTCCTGCTCCTGGGGCTGGCATCATCTCTCCTCATCTCCCTCTGACCCTGGCTTATATCCTATTTCAGGAAGCCAATGCAGCACGAGTTTGATCCCCAGCCAGGGAGGTGACACACATGGCGCAGCAGACCTCTCCTGTCTCGCCTGCTGCTCCCCTCAGCAGCGTATTTCAGTTAATCATCCTGTTCTGCTCCCCAGTCTGTCTCTGGCGAATCCTCTCAACCCCCACACCTCTAGCCTGTACCCCAGCTCTTGTGTGCATAAACAAATCTTTTTTTTTTTTTTTAAAGGTCTCTGAGGGACAACTGCCACAACTGACAAAAAGGCAGTCACTGAGCTCTGAGGAGCAGCTGCCACAACAGACTTGTGGAGCAGCAGGGTGAGAGAACATCACCGCTCCTGCCGGCTCCCACTGCTGAGGCGGCTGGGTTCCGGTAACGGTTCCACTTTGGCAAAACCTCCCCTCCTGGTGATCTGGGTCTGACCAAGGCATAGGGCAAGAGGGCACAGGCCTGGCCAGTACCAGCTCTGCATTTTCCCAGGGCATGATCCAAAGTGGGTTGGAAAGAAATAGGAAAGGTGTGAAGCCTGAGAGCTTGGTGCCATCACCAGCATGAAAGAAGACCCCACCTGAGAAAGAAACCAACATAGAGAAAGCCCTGGGCTAGGAAGAGGCGGCTTGCTGGTGTCCGCCATGGGACACCCTGGCTCACTCAGGTGAGGTCAGTCTCCCAGGGGCCTGTTTGTCAGCCATCACCAAGTAGCAAATTATTCCGAAACTTTATGGCCTAACAAACTGCAAATGTTCATTATATCTTTCACAGTTTAAAAAGCAACTGAGCTCTGGTTAAAGGTCTCATGAGGTTGCTGAGGGGAGGCTATGGTCCATTCTGAAGTTCCCCATTGGGGAAGATCAGCTCTCACACATAACATGTGGCCATTGGGCGGGTCCCTTACCAGCTGCAGAACGGATGGTTCCTGGCCACACCGCCTGGCCACCCCGTGTACTTCCCAGCACAGATGGCTGAGGACAGATGGCAAGTCAATACAAATCCAAGACAGAAGCCAGTCTTTTTATAAAGGAGTCTGGTCTGGTTCATACTTGAGAGGCGGGAACTACACTAGGGAGTGAATTCAAGGAGACAGGGTCACGGGGCTATTCAGTAGCCCCCTGTACTGCTAGGCACCCCACTTCTGTGTCAGGAAATTCCTCCTTGTGAAAGTTGATTGACTTGTGTTAATGTCAATGGAACATTGACATCACCCTCCTCCTCACCCTTACAGCTGCAAAAGACCTCAGCAACTAGTGTGCCTCCTCCTTTGGGGGTGGGGGCAACATCCGAACCCCACCAAGGGTATACTGGCTGGCAGATGAAACCCAGTGTCTGGTCTATAAGGTGCAGCTAGTACACCCCACACCAGAGAGAGAGAGGCTCTGGCCACATCTTCGAGGTACCAGGAGTCCAGGCCGAGAAGCACACCCATGTCAGGGGCAGAGCAGAAGTAAGGCCATGGAGTAGGGGCAGCGCCAAAGGCAAGAGCCAGACTATAACAGGGTAAGGACCAGCAGGCTGGGGACACAGAGAGCATCCCAAGTGGTGGGGGTGAGGGGTGCTTATAGGAAGCACTGGGAGCATGCCGCAATCTTACGTGCCGACGGGCCAAGGTGGGTGATGGGAGTCAGCGGCGCAGGCTGGTTGTAAGAAGAGTAAGTCCTATTTGGCCACTTTAGGAAGGATAAGAGCACAGAGCAATATTTCCCCATTATGCTAAAGAAGGTGGGGGCAATAAGGAGTGGTGAGGGTTGGGACAAACCTAGGAGCTCCCCCACAGCTGAAGGGGCAAGGGCCCTCAGCATCAGTCTGTTACTGCCAGATTGGATATCTCAGGTCAATCTTTAAATCTGGCTTTTACAAAGAAGCCTACCTCAGAGTAAGCATTGACTCAAGTTAAAATAAGTTACATGGGCAAAACGAAACACATCCCCCAGGTCAACAGTTTGAGAACCCCGAGATAAAGGTCTTCAGACAATGGATCTGCCCTTCCTCCCAGTTCAGCCAGGTCCCAAGCTCCCCCTGGCAGCCAAAGTGATTTTGCTGCTGTGGCAGGATAGTTTAATGAAATATTGAATGAAATACTGACTTGTGTTTTGTTCTTGCCTTTTCTTTCCTTAATTTATTCCAAGACAAAGGCAACCTGCCATTTATGTTCTCTAGATGCACGGGAACTTGTTTTGGGGTCCAGTGCAGAAGTTATCTGGGATTCCTTCCTTCCTGGATTTTGGGTTCTGAGGAGGCTCCCCAAGGGGAAGGGTTAAATCAGGGTTGGATTGGCTTGGGGCAGCAGATCTTAGCAAACAACGGCCATCCCCTTGGCTCCAGGAGCCTCAAGAAGTTGAGGCGGAGGGTGACATCAGCCAAGATAAGAAGTTGCTTGTGCCTGCTAAATCTCTGCCATGTCTCTTTGTCAACTTTCTCAAGACTCTGGCCCATCTCATGTGGGCACAGAGAAACCAAAGGCCATTGTCCTTGCAGGACCTGAAAAGTGCAGGAGGGTGAGGGGTGTCCACGACCATCCTGAGCCCTGACCTTATACGGGCCCAGGTGGATCCTGGAAAGCACCTTCTGCATCA